AACCCGTTAACGATAAGTTTATTTTGATAATCTCGAAAATAGTAAATTATTGGCTTGGTTTTAACAATTCGATCAATAATGAATAACTCAATTGAGTAATTGAGTAAGTGCCATTTTTAAAATACATGTCTTGACTTTCTCACAGGAAATATGACTTTATTTCGATAAGTTCTACTTGTCAAGCTTCCACAAATATCAAATTTTCGACGCGAATATTGCAGCAAATCGTTGTTTAATTTTGCAACAATTCTTTGATACTTCATTGCTCAAATATTCACCTCTACCACCATAATCATCATGAGCAATACTATTAGCCTTGATACAATGAACTTAATTCTTCCTATCTTTCTTTTATAGATTTTGTGGCGGGGACAACCGTTGAGTAGCGATTCCCCTGTCTTCACCGGCCTCTGGCTGTTTGCGTGCACTGTCGTTAAGCAGGGCATTGATGTAATTGAGTTAGCACATTACTAATGTCCGGTTTACATGATTTGAGGTGGCGGATTAGTGGCTTAGGGCGGATTAGCGGCACAGCACATCGTGGCGAAAAGGTGCGTGTGTTGTGGGGGGCGGGGGAGACTAGAAAGTATATAAGAGAACTTAGGATGTGGAACGGTGATTATTGTACGTGAAGATTCGATTCACTGTGTTACCGTCGGTAAAAGAGAAGAGTTTACGTACAGATTTAGGTCGGGAAGTTATCGTTACAGGCAGAATAGAAGACTTTGGTGTGGATTTGGGGTGCGCCGCGGATTGCTGCAGGAATTTTCGTTTCAGTTTTGTTGACTTGTGATTAAATGGGCCAGATCATCCCCGGTCACTGCAGCACAACCTTTGGCGTTTGCTCCATCACCACTGATACCTGAGCCCATTGGAAGTAAAGGTGTGGCAGCTGGGGCAATCAGCACAGTGTGAGCTCTCTTCTCTCTCTTTCCGCCCCTCAAGAATCAGTTGTAGTACGCCCATGATAGTTATGGTGTCGTGGACTCCTGACAATTGGATACTCCGCTGTACGCAGGATTGCGACCTCTGAGCGACCCTTGATTGTCCGGAACTGCCGTGAGGCTCAACGTTGTCTTTCATATAGACTGCCGCTTCGCAACGGTTGAACACCTTTCCGGTAATACCTCTTCGCCTCGAAGGCTTATTTGTACGGTAATATGTATTGTTTCTTTTTACTTATTTGTTTGTAATGTCTTTTGTTCTTTTTTTATTTTATTGTTATTGTTAATAAATAGATGGTTTCGGATTTTTTAAACTATGTAATTAAATTTTAAGTTACTTCCACTTTATATCTAAGGCCCTCTAACGCGCAGACGTCGCAACCTGCATGTCTGGCAAGTTGTTCAGTAGCTGAAGCATTTTGCCATCCAAATTTCCGCGTAAATAATTAGTGAATAGAGTCACGGGCAGATTTTATTGTAAAAACCGACTGTCCCATTACAATGTAATATCGCTATTAATTGTCGATATCTGTTGATCTATTTTGTGACTGTATTAATCCATTTAAATATTCAATTTGTTCAACTTTTGTTATAATAAGAACAATTTCATTGATTGATATCTTAATCATACTGATAGGTACCGGACGGCACCGATTGACAACTGAAATTCAATATGGCAGGGTTTACCTAAGTCGTGTTTTATGTACTCAAAGAGAATGTGATGTGTTACAAGTTTTCATCCTAAATGTCCCTCTATAAAAGATATAATCATCGTTTTCAAGGTCTGATTATACCTATCAGTAGGTTTGATCGTTAGATAATATACCGTTGTTATGACATGCTCGATTTCTTGTTTGAATAGTGTAACGGTCTGGAAAATAATCGAATTATTCTCGCGGCCCGTTAAGGATTTTATTTTCACTGGTCGGTGCGGGGCTCACCGCCGCCCCGATCAGCTAGCCGCTTCCTGGCGTTCCGCCGAATACGGGCGGGTACGCGCTGACCTGAAAAGGGATCGCGAAAGCACGGCTAAGCACGAGAGCGTGCGTGGGTTCTAATCACGGGCGCGGGAAGGGACAGAGGTACCTTCCTGGGTACGCCCAACACAATGTCAACGCTTAAACAGGTTAAATAGGGCTTTATTCCTTTAGACAAATTTTATACAATTACCGCATGCCGAGATTTCGCTATGAATACTACTTTAGAGAGAGAGACGCTCGCTCGCGCAACTAACGCACGCTAAGTTGTCGCTTATAAACAGAGAGAAACTCACCGGGAAGTAGCTGCTGCAGACAGACTACTCCTTGCTAATCGCCCGTGTTATCGCCCTTGCTCAGGCTGGCAAGTTCTGCCCCTAGTAATCGCCCACTCGAGATGACGATCCACTGGCTCCGGCGATCCTTGAGGATAGTGTCCACTTTTCTCGCACACTCGCACTTTTCTTTATTTGCCGGTCGCTTTCCTTTTCTTCCTCTTTTCTTTTGTTCGCGCGCGCACGTGACAATCCCTCGAGCTCGCCGGTCTAAGTCCAAGTGTCCGAAAATCGTTTTCTCTCCCCACCCTCTCTCTACGGCACGCGCCTCATCGAGTCTCGCTCTGTCTCTCTCTCTTCACTCCTCGCTCGCTTGCCCGCTTGGCCATGCTCGGCCTCGTGCGCGGACAATCTTCCGCGAAAACGGCCCCGGCCGTTATAGCCCCCTCCTAGTCGGATGATACCCGAGGTAATCTCCGACGATCATAGCGCGGAATGATTATGCGAGGGTAAGGACTAGCGAGGTGAGAGGGGTGAAGTGAAATAAATGTGACGGTGACATGAGGTAAGAATCTTTTATTTAGCTGCCCCAGTGGGCAACTGTCAGCGACGCCGATGGCTACAGCTGCGACGGAATTCGCCGTGGCGGGCGAGGTTCGGGCAGCGCGATGACTTGGAGACGCCGGGATGTCCGCAGATGTAGCATCCCTCGACGTCTCGGCGCGATTGGCCCTCTCGGCGACCCTCCGGGTCGACGACGTTGGGGTTGGGAGTCCGGCTCGCGCTCCTCACGCTGCTCCGTTCTCTTCGCCCCAGGGAATGGGCGCTCTGTTGGCGATGATGTTCTGACCAGCGCCCGTGACGTTGGCTGACATTGATCATCACCGTGCTTCCCCCGGAGGAGTTGGCGTCCACGCTCACGCGGCCGTGATGGGCTGGCTCGGAGGTAGCCGCGTCCTCGACGTTCTGGTCGGACGTTACCTGGGCTGTGGGCCTAGTGGCTCTGGGCCCTTGGGGGCGCTGGTCTTCCATGCCGGGTGCCCGGCGGAATTCCGGGTAGGGCAATAGCGGAGGGGGGCGCCGTGAATACGGGCGACTGCTCTTGCTGTATTGCCCGGACCGCCAACTCGTAGCGTTGCCACCGCTCGAGTTTCTCGAGCCACGGGTCAAGGAGGGTTACCACACCGGGTAGCTCCAGAAACTGCGCCGACTTGGTTAGGACTCGACGTTGGAAGCTCATGACGAACTTCCAACTTCGGTCAGCGCTCGCCCGATGCTTGGCCATTCCTCTTCACTCAATCGGCTCACCCACTCGCTCAACGGGGAGGTGGGTCAATCCGCACTCTCGTACGGCCGATCGATGTGGGGGTATACGCGGGCAGGCCTCGGAATGTGTTCCGGGTTGCTGCCCACGTCCCATGGCCTCCGGCCGCACTCGGAGGGCGCGCCTCTTCGGCTCAGGGCCTCTTCTCGGCCCGTCGCGGCTCCTGGTGCGCCCGTGGATAGCCAGATTTGCGAGGCCACCTCCTGCTGGTCAGAGTAGGCCTGTGTCGATCGGTCTAGCCGGGTCGGTGTCGCCTGGGTTGACACCGCCCAGCGGAACGGCCTGACCTGGACTCCGCGGTGCACTGTTGAGCGGGGGGTCTGGGTGGTCGCGTCCCTTTTCTCGCCGATGGTCTGCGAGGAGGCATCCTGGGCTTTGGGCGTGGGGCGACCCGTACTTGAGGCGGGTCGTCCGGTGGGTACGGCCATGGACGCGTATCGCCCGTACACCCACGCGTGCACCGACGTCTTCGGCGGCGGGGCGGGGTTGCTTATGTGCCCGCCGCGGGTCGGCCAGCCCTTCGGGGCCTCACGGACCTCTTCCAGGGTGAGCCTTGGGTTCGGCCTTAGGTGTGGCGGCGCGATGACGCCCTCTTCCTGCAGCTGTTGCACCCGCAGGATGAGTCGAGCTCGGGCGTCGTCTAGCCGGCGGAGCACGGTGTCCTGTGCGATGCCCTCCCGGATCTGGTTCGCAATCTGGTCAAAGATGCGGGCGAACTCCGCATCCCTTTTCTCTTCGTCCTCCAACTCGAGGGCCTCGACGCGCATCCGCTCGAAGGTCTTGCGAGCGCCGAATAGGGTCCCTTTCTCCGACCGCTCGAGGTCCTCGTGTAGGGCGTGGTTGAAGAACCAGGCGGCGACTTCGACGACTGCGTCTTCCATCTGTAATGGGGTGACAATGGATGGTATGAGGTGAATGAATGATCATGGCTGATGGGGGTAATGATTGCGAATGGCGCGGGTGGGACCGCTAAGCCCTTCGTTTCGACGGCTCGGCTCGGATTCGGTATAGCCCGCGTCGCTGTGCGAAGTACCAGGCGTGCCGTTTTTCTAGGCCGGCCCCGTGGCTTTCTCGCGACAGTGGACTGTGGGCCTGCCGCTTGGACCTTGCGCGGCCGCCCTGGTCCCCGCTTCGCTGGCGCCGGCGTGGGTGTCGGATCCGCCGGCTCGCCCGGTTCGTCGGACTCGCGCTCGCTCGCTTGGTCGCACGCTTCGGGCGGGTCGCCTTTCGCCCTTCTCTCCCTCGGCGGTCGAACCGTGTCTTCCCCATCTTCCGGCTGGGTTTGGTCTTTGTACTCGGCCGAGTCGTAAAACTGGCGGAGGTCTTTGGCGTGGACGAGGGTGTCTAACTCTACTTGGTGGTTAGCCAGTTTGAACGCGTTGTTGCCGCAAACTTTCGTGATGACGTAGGGCCCGGTATATTTCGGTGCTAGTTTTGTCGCCACGCCTTGGGCCGCCGAGGAGAGGATCCGATTCCTCTTTCACACCCAGTCTCCGACCTTGAACTTATGCGGCCGATGTTTTTTGTCATAATGGGGCGCCTGGCGCTCTTGCTCGTCCTTCGTGCGTGCTGCGGCCTCATCATACCAGTCACTCAGTAGCCCCAAGTGTTCGGCCCATTCTGCCTTGGCTTGTTCTTCTTCGTTCTCAGCGCTTGCGGAATCCTGTTGGCGGCGCTGAGTGCCGGGCGGAACTGGTTGTCGACCATAATTCAAAAGGGCCGGGCTGACCTTGGTGGTGCTATGTATGGCCGTGTTCAGGTCGAAGGACAATTCAACGAGCTTTTCGTCCCAATTTTTATGATGGTCTTCCAGATAGGTGACGATCATTGTCTTGAGAGTTCGGTTGTATCTCTCTGTCGGGTTGGCATGAGGGCTATACGCGGGGGTTAGCCCGGACTTTATGCCTTGCTTAGCCAAGTAGTCTTCGACGAGTTGGTTTTTAAACTCCGTCCCGTTGTCCGAGAGAAATTGTTCCGGCGCTCCGAATCTCATTACGATTTTGTCGTTTAACTCTTTAACGATGGTCTTGGCGTTGGCTCGGCGGATTGGTACGCACTCCACCCAACGCGTGAACAAATCGACAAAGACTAGGAGATATTCGTGGCCCCGGGGGCTGCGCGGGAACGAATCGGTAATAAGCCCATAAGCGCGTCGCTGCTCCATTTTGCACTGCTGGCAAATTTGGCAGCCGCGCACGTATTCTTTTACTTCGCGCTTAAGCGCTGGCCAAAAGTAAAGGCGGCGCACGCGGGCGAGTGTTTTGTCTCGCCCCAGGTGCCCTGCTGTCACTGCATCGTGACACTCGGCCAAAACTTTCCCCTTCTGCTCTTAGGGCACTACTAGCTTCCATGCCTCATCGTCCTCAAGCAGTTCGGAGAAAGCTCGGTCGGGGCGGTAAGTGTACAAGTTACCGCCCGTGATTTTCCAAATCGGATGGGCACCGGGCTCATTTTTGACCTCTTCGATTTTGGAGAGGTACCACTCGTCTTTAGTTTCTTTGGCCCACGTGAGGGCACTTATCGTGGGCTCATCTTCGTCGTTGTCCTCGAACGCGCGTGACAGTGCGTTAGGGACTGCATGCAGGGCTCCTTTACGGTGCTCGACTTCAAATTGATATCCTTGAAGTCGTAGAGCCCACCTCGCTAGACGGTTCGTCTGGTTTCTCATGCGTCTTAGCCAGCGCAGAGAGCTGTGGTCCGTTACCACTTTGAACTTGTAGCCCTCTATGTAGTGTCGGAATTTTTCAATTCCGTACAGCACTGCTAGGCACTCACGCTCCGAGACCGAATAATTGCGTTCTGCTTTCGACAAGGTGCGGTTGATGGTTTCGAACGCCTCTTGCTGTGCGATTCCCCACACGAATGGTTCGGCCTTTCTGGTCAGCTTGACGAGGGGCTCAGAGATCGTGGCAAAGTCTTCGATGAATCGCCGGTACCACGAGGCCATGCCCATGAAGCTCCTGAGCTTCCGAACATTGCTGGGCCTCGGGTATTCTGCAATCGGCCGGACTTTTTCTGGATCCGGCCTGATTCTGTCGCGATTAACGAGTAGTCCGAGGTATCGGACCTCCGACTTGCAAAACACGCTCTTGTCAGAGCTTACTGTGAGCCCTGCCTCTATCAATCGGTTTAGAACTTTCGTCAAGTGGAGCTTGTGCTCTTCAAATGACGAAGAGACGATGATGATGTCGTCTAGGTACGCGAACGCAAAAGAGTCCATGTCTGGGCCGATGACGCCGTCTATCAGGCGTTGGAATGTCACCCCCGCATATGCGAGGCCGAAGGGCATTCTCACGTATTGAAAATGCCCCAAGTCCGGTACGGTGAAGGCTGTATACGGGCGACATTCCTTTTTCAACAGGATTTGGTGGTAGGCGAGGCTCAAATCCACTGTTGATATATACTTGGCGTTGCGCAGCCGCCTCAGTATGTCTTGCATAAAGGGAATTGGGTAAGCATCTGGCTCTGTAATCGTGTTCACCTCGCGGAAGTCGATGCACATCCGGTATTCTCCTTTATTGCCTCGCGGTACCATCACGATTGGACTTGACCAACCGCTTTTCGATCTTTCTATTACGCCGGCCTCAAGCAACTTTGCGACCTGCTTGTGCATTTCTTGCTCGATCTTGGGTGAGACCGGGTAATATCTCTGCTTGATCGGCCTGGTGGACGTCAGCTTGATGTCATGCTCGACGTCTCTCGCCGCCCCTAGAAGTTTGCTGGGCGGTGGCAGCATACTTTTCACCAAACTTTCTATCTCCGCTCTTCTGTCGTGTCAGCGATACCGATCGAGGCCATTTCGGCGGCTCCCTTTAAGCCAGCCATCTCCATCGGTACCGTCACGTTATCGTCTCGCAGAAAAATGGTATTATCAGTGTGGTCAGTCACTGCCTTGAACTTTTTCATGAAGTTGACCCCCACATAACATTGATCTGCGAGCTCTGGGATGATAGAGACGCGGACATCTTTGGTCACGCCTCCGGTTGTGAAAGGCATCTCTAGATGGCCTATCACGGGCACTGATCGGCCGTCTGGCAACTTGCACGACCCAGCCTTGGTTACTTTCAATTTAAGTCCGAGTTCAGCGGCAATCAGCAGACCTAACGCTCCCATCGACGTGCAGGAGGCTCCTGAATCGTATAGGGCACGAATTCGGAAAGTCCCGATCTGCACGGTGAGCCACCACCTTGACTCGTCCTCCGGCGCGTATTCTTTTTCACGGCTTACCGTATGGCGTTCCTTTGCGACCGCGGCAGTCGCCGAAGACTCGCCGCCCAAATCACAAGCTCCATTAGCTACAGTGCGCCGTTCGCTCGCTGCCTGCTCCGTCTGGGCTTGCGTAGATGCGCGGGATCCTGAGATCTCCGGGTTTTCTGGTGCCGAGGCCGATACCTTGCCATTACTGTGGAAAGAATGTCCGTCGCGCTCATCTGTGAGGACTAAGTCGGCGCTGCTGGGTCCGCTTACTCTTTTTTCCTGTGTTGTAGCCGAATCTTCGCTACTTGCTGCGGTCCCACAGCCGATGTTACCGTCGTCACCGCTTCCTCGCCCTTGTGTCGGCTGGGCGCTCGCTGGCTTCAGCGAGTCATCGTTGCCCGTCGATTGCGAGTTTATTCTAGTGATCGGCATCGGGGGCATCAGGCGATCCTTATCGCCCGGAGTTTGCCCTGCCTGTGGGATCTGGGATTTGGGGGAAGCGGTAGTGATCCCTTCTAACTACTTCCCGTCCCGTTTCCCGCCGGCACTGGCGGGTTACAATCTGGGCAATATCTAACACTGAAACCGAGTCTGCCGCACTGGGAGCAGCTCAACGGTTTCGAATAATCTATGGTCCTTCGCTGACCTCTGGGCCTGGGTGTCGTCTCTGGGCAAGCTTTTCACTGAGCTTATCCATTATGGATTTTTCCAGCTTCTCCATCCAATGGCTCGGTGTCCCCTTCTGAGCGACCGCCGCGATCTCTGCCTCGGCGGGCTCCTCTCCTTCCTCGGGCTGTTCGGCACTCAGTGCTGACACTTTTGCCTTTTTTGCCCCCGCCCCCGGTGGGGTATAAGTCCATTCCGGAAACAGGGCGGCTTTCGGCTCCAGCATCACTCTTTTCTGGCTCGCGTGAATTAGGTCGTTCTGGACCTCTGTGGCCAGGCGGCATAATTCACGCACCGAGGTTACTCTCGTGCGTCTGATATGGCGCTGGATTTCTGGCAGCAAGTTGGCGTATAGCAGTTCAAGTTCTTCCGACGCGGGCATGGGTGGCTGCACTTTTCTCACCATGGCTTGGAGCTTGGTAATATAATCCCTTACCGGCTCATCTTGCCCCTGATAGCGCGCATGCACCTCCCTCTTCAGCCTCTGTTGCTGCACGATGCTGGTGCCAAACCATTGGCGCGCGTCCTCGAGGAAGTCCTGATAGCTGATCCAATCCTGGTGGTTGTTTAAGTACCAGGTTTGGGCCGCCCCCGTTAGGACGTCGGGTAAGCCCATCAGCATCTCTTCCTCGGAAATTCCGGCGGCCATCCGTTGCGCTTCCAGCTTATCTAAGAAGACGTCCACACTTTGGCCTTCACTTCCAGCGAACCTAACCTTCCATCCCCTCACCATTTTTCCCACATCTCAGGTCGTGGAAAACCCGCCGGTCGTATTTTGGTGTGACCCCGCCGACGGGCCCATGCTGTACCTGGGCAGATAGGTGCTGGTGAACCTTCTCTGCCCTGCACTGCGTCCCAGTCTGTCGGTGGTGGTTGGTTCTACCTGCCCAAAATTTCGTCCGACTGCGGTACTATGGTGAATCCTCGGCTGCCCTCCTGGGTTCGGTACAGCGGAATTCAAATGGGCATTCTGCTGTCCGCCCCCTCCTGAGGGCTGCGCTAGGGGTGGTTGGTGCGGCCATCGCGCCCCGGGCATTTGATTGCCCCTCAATGGCGTGCTGCCGCCCGTGTCGCTCGGGTAGTGAAGCGTAAACGTGTCCTGGAAGCGCGCGCCCGGGCGCGGATTGTCTGGTGGCGGGGTGTCTTGTTCAGCGTGTGTCTGCGCTTCTTGCGCATCCTGCAGGTCATCCATGTCGTTTTCTAGCATTCCGACTCTGTGCTGGAGTGTCTCGATTTGGCTGACGATTCTGGCTTGTGCTGCGCACACTCCTTGCATCAGCTGCGTCGCTTCCCGGACCCTCTGGTTGTATAGGGCCACGGACTTTTCCACAGCTCGGAGTTGCTTCAGCCAAACTCCTATTGCTTTGATAAACTCCCGTGAAACCTGTACTGGGTCTCCTCCGGTTGTCAGCAATTCGTCGGCCTCATCTACAGGTTGCTCTGGCCTTGGGGGCGATGTTGGTGCTTCGCCCGAGTGCATCGATTCCTCCAGAATCAGCCCCGTTAGCTGCATATCCATTTTTGATATGAGCATGTCATCGGTCAATGCTGTTTGCAGTGGATGTTCTGCGACGCCCGTCGCCTCCGCTAACGCTTCCTGCTCTTGCAGGATAAACGTTGTCCTCCGTTCCATCCTGGCTCGCATAGCCGACGCTGGTGACGCTTGCATCGTCTGCTGAAAATCTGATGCGGTATAGTCTCCCAGCATCCATTTCTGCAGCCGGCTCTTCTTTACTGCTATGTCGCCATCTACTTTCAAATCTAGGGCTGCCAGTGTCCTATGTAGCCCATCTTCTTGCAACTCGGCGATCCATTACTGAACGCTTACTTCCGGGTCTCTTAGCGTCTCCATTATTAATTGGTTGCGAGCGCTGTTGTAAATGTCAATAATCGCCTAGTACGATTTACAACCTCGCTCTGACAACCTAGCGCACGTGAGTGTATTCTTGACTAATTGGTGGCCAA